CAGTAGAAACAAATGCTGCACGTCCGAGCGTGTCCCCTTGATTTTTCAGTTTATGATCTACAATCGCCCGACCTTAGACCTAAGACAGTTCAGTTTGGTCCTCAAATAATTATTTATTAAAGCAAAGCTCAGTCAATATAAGGTAGGGACTCTTGTAGTTGCTGCCCTCTGGTGGTCAGGAATATTAATAACTAGATAAATTTGTCTTGCACAGCAACAATAAAATGATATAGTTGACTACTGTGTGCATTAATAAGACATTTAAAAGTAACACAAAAGTTACTTACTACTTACTTTTATATGCAGTAATTGGTAAAGTAATTCAATTGCTTTTGAGAGTAGTAACTAATTACTATTTTCAGTAACTTACCCAACGTGGCTTACGTGTAACTCCCAACAGCTTCCGATTTCCTTCTAAACCTCGTCCTTCTTGGAATATCCTTATGAAAACCTTATTAGTCTCTCGTCTCGTCTCGTTTCTGGCAGAAAGCCCTGAAGGCAAACTTTTCCCACATGCCCATGTTGACTGCTGACTGGCGGGGAAACGTCAAGGACGTCAGCGATGATCATGAATGAAAATAGGCTGGATCTGTAGCAAGGGCGCCAAACTTCACAAAAACAGAGCCAGAGCGACATGTCACTTAGCCTGTTTGCTGACGCACGGAGCAGGTTGGGACATCTTCATTGGGAAAAAACTGAAACCATCACCATTCACTTATTCGCATGCTCAAAGCTGACTCAGTGAGCAGAGCCACCGTTGTTAATGTTGTTAATGTTGTTAATTACAACTCTGCTTTTCCTACTGTGTGAAAAAGGCCCACAGGCAAGCTCAGCAACAGGACTAGATGATAATTCCTCACAGTGTAGTTACATTTTTCTGCTATGGTTGGTGACCATGGCTGAATGAATGTAAGAAAACCTTGATAAGACAGTAAGCCATGGGTTGTCTGTATTGAATGCATACCTATGTGTGTGCCTGTGTGACCTCACAGCCCACAGGTGTGTTTATGTTTGTGACCTGAAGCTCGCCCTGCCTGCTGCCGCCACTCCTCGCCAGCCCCATCCGACATAAAACACATCGCTGTCAAAAGTAGAAGCAGACTGTTGTTGTCTGTGAGTTGTTTGTTAGTTTTCCAGCAATGACATCTTCACTGTATAACTATGTGAACCGCAGTCATTTCCGTTGTCGTAATTGTTTTTACTAAAATGCCAAATAGTGTTTAATCACGTGTCACCTAACCACACGTATGTCTGTGTCAGTTCCGACCATAACAAACATGTTGAAACCCTTGCGCTGGCAGCCCCCCTTTAACTGTCTTGTTAGCGTCAGAGCTGCGCTTTTCATTGCACTATTAAAGGTTAAATATATCTCCTATTAATCATGTAATGAGATCTCTCAGGCCTCTTCCGGGTGTGTGGCTCAGTGGAGGCGAATGGCTTGGCGACCACACTGTGGTATTACTACTACTAATACTGAGGTATAATAAGACCACAGCAGCAGGCACTGGAGAAATATATTACGGTATATTCCTGAACTGTAGGAGACTATTTGAAACTTCCCAACTGCTTGTGTCTGTCTTTGTGTGTGTGTGTGTGTGTGTGTGTGTGTGTGTGTGTGTGTGTGTGTGTGTGTGTGTGTGTGTGTGTGTGTTGGACCACAAGAGCGGGCTTCCCTGCATTTATTACCACGATTAGAGGACGTATGGGCCCAGTGCAGCGTAGGGAACTTTTGAACCCCAGGTAAAGCAAATTCCCACATGTCAAACATCCAGCTTTCTCTCTTTTTTTCCCCCTCCTATGTGACCGCACCCCATTTAGGCCTATGCACGTACTACAATTACTGTTCTGATGAAACAGGGGAAAGGCTGTTACACCACCAGAGCAGGAAGCCAGATCAAAGGGGATATGTTAATTCTTTATTTGACCTCTTTCTTTCTGACCGTCAGTGCCATGGCCTTTGGATACCACCAACGGTTCTGTGGGACAATGTTGTTAACTCTCCACTGCACACTGCAATGCATGTGGACAAAAACACACTTACTGTATGCGCACTCACCGAGGGGGATTTAGGATATACAGTGCTTTTAATTCATGTTCTGCAATGTGCTTGGAGGAAATCGGTGCAGGAGGGATATGCTTCTGAGATTTTGTGTATACAAATGAAGCCTCTGTTTCTTCGGAGTCATGCATTGACTTTATCTTTTTGATGTGTTTAAAAAATTATCAATGCTGCCATCCCACAAAAGAAGTTCCTCATTAACTTGATTAATGGATCAACTGAGTGACTCTTGTACCTGAATGTTTTGTGTGTGTGCGAGCGCGCTCCTTCCTGCCCTGGGCTGCAAGTGGCAGGCTAGAAATCACTGTTTAGCCTTGTGTTTGACCCGGGTGATTAGGTGTTTAAACTTGTGTCTCCTCCTCATTAAGCGTTGGCAGATGCCAGACGCTTGAGAGTATGTGATGAGATATTGATGAAAAGGCTGCCAGTTGTTTTCCTCACTGACTTCTGATCATGCTCGCAAAAAATTTCTGGGCTTTTGCAGAAGCACAGAAACAACATTTAGAGCCAGTGCAGAAAAACCTACACACACACACACACACACACACACACACACACACACACACACACACACACACACACACACACACACACGTACACAGGATAAGACCAGATCATGGAGGAGCTGGTCAGTAGCAGTAGTACATATACAAAAATACACACACACACACACACACACACAAACGAAAGCACATGATGACTACAGCTTGTAGATGTGACAATATCTCTGTACTCTTAATGTGCATTAATACACACATTAAAGTTTGCTACAGGTCAGCTGATAATATAACTCAGTCTTAGGAATTTCTCTCTTGTGTTTCAATTAAATGTAGAATCTGATGTAGCACTAACATTGCAGGGTTTTTTTGCATATGAGACTTTCAGAGGAGCTCTTTGTTCACTATCACTGTCGTGCTTCAGTCTGAGGTGCACTTTTCACAGTATTTACACCATTGTGCAGCTTTCAGTAGTAAATATACAGTATATTCTAGTGATGTGTTGACCCGGCTCCTTTAAATGAACAACGGGAGCTTGATAGTTACATAAATGAATACAAGACAGAATAATAGGATGATTCTATAACATATGTGTTAAATACAATCCAGACACGTCTCACCTTTGGTAATAACATTAAAACCCAAGCATGATGATCTGACTCATAGTTAAATATGAATAAATATTAGAATAGAAATTATCTTTTTGCATTATTTAAGATTTTTAGACCATGCATAGTGTAAAATTATGGTATTCTAGAAAATATACGGTTTAATATAATTAAATTCAATATTTTAAGTGATATGATATATGTAGACACCAGGGCTGCACAAATAATCAAACTATTATCGAAATCGCAATAGTGCAATATCAATAGAAACTGCAATTCTTTCATAAATGTAAAATGTGCGACACTGTAGTTCTAAAGAGATGCACTGGCCTACAAACCTTGTTTGAGAAATTGTTTAAGAAAACATGTTTGTTTGGAACATATCCCCACAAAAAAATCATCATCATCATGATTTTAGTAGTTTTGTCAGTGAAAATCACAATGTGAAAATGATCATTCCCACTCTAACCGTGAATCATATTGCAATCACAATATGATATGATATGTCAAAATAATTGCAATATGATGTTTTTACTGCATCATGCAGCCCTAGTACACATATACCAATCATAGATCAAAACATTGCTAAATGTGGCTTAATCATAAAATCTCAATCTACTCTTATTGATCTAGATGATTCCCATCTCTAGTATATTCCGTGGGAGTTACTATTTTGGGGGTTTTAAAGTGACACTGTAACTTCTGAAGAACAAAAATAGCAAGTTCAGTCTCTTACAGATAAAATGTTGAACTGGCAGCAAAGAGCACCCTTCAACCTTTCAGGACACTCTGGGGTTTTGCTGCTGCAGCTTTACTTGGTCTGCTTATGGTGGCTAATATTGGTGGCTAACGTTACAAAGTTTTGATGGATATTACTATGTTACTGATATTATTGAGTTAGTCTGCTAACCACTGAGACACTGACTCTAGTTCTCTCTACTTGTGCTGTTGTTATGTTTGAACATTTACCCCATACTCTGTAATTGTCACTTGTTCTAAACTTGTGTTAATGTTTTTATGTGTCTGGTTACCCGCATGCTATTTTGGTGTATTTTTATTGAACCTGTACAATGAAATGTCATATTGACATACACTCCTCTCCTATTTTTCCTCTTTCCTTCATTTTCAAATATTCTTTTAGCTTTAAAGGTCCAGAGTGTAACATAAAGGAGGATCCAGAAGGTTTTTCGCTTGTTTCACAGCCACCGTAGTTTCTCTTTTGTGCTAGGAAATGGAGGGAGAAGCACTGTAAATCACACTGTTAAATGATATAATGAAGTAGTTGAATAGAGGGGGAGACCGGCAGCACATTTTAGAACCTAGTTTGAATACAAAACTGTCTCTTATTTGCATGTTAGGCTGATGCGCCATCCATTTTTTATTTCATTCAGCATAACACCTTTTCTTTTCCCTCAATCAAATAATCCTTCACTATGTCTTTTGGCAATCCAACATTAGAAAAAGGTTTGGATCAGGCAGCAGTTTGGTGCTGGGGCCTTCAGATTCCTGCTAACACACTTTTTAGTCGGTATGTGGCTTCCAGAGTCAGGTGGAAAAGTGGCAGGAGGGGCTGCACTTTGTCTGTGTATCGATGCCTGAGGCTTAGTGCATGGCTGCCATCTAGTGATGGGTTTAGACACCAACTGGACCGGCACGTTCTTCTATGTTCACATGAACTGTCCACTGTATAACTGGCCTGTGAAGGAGTGTGTGAAAGGTTTCCTGTCGTCTTTCTTCATTATTCAGATCACACAAGTATAAGAATTTCCTAAAAATGTCCCAGGTTGACACATTGCTGTGTTTTAACTGTAGTCTCTCCTGCACTGTCTTCTTCAGGCTCGCATGGCGCTGGATAAAGGAGCTCAGGCTGTTATCTTTGATGTCAGTGATGATGCCAATGCTGCTGCTGAGGTGAGTGTGCGGGCACAGCTACAGACACAGTTACATTCATTTGTAACATATATTAGATGAAATGGATGACATGGAATAGCCACACTCATATTTCTGTGTCTTTCTCTTCCTGCTTTGGTTACCATCCCTTTTGCACGACACACACAGCTGCGAGAGACGGACTCCCTTCCCCGTCCGGTCGTGCTGGTGGAGGCGGAGGATGCAGAGGAGCTGATGGGTTTGGTCAACAAGAACGAGGAGGCCAAAGTTCGCATTGAGGTCATGATGGAGCAGCCTAGATGGGTAGGCACTGAAACACACACACATCCCTGACTTTCCTTTCATTGGCTGGAAGAAGAGAAACCCCTCTGGGAAATAGAACAGAAAGGAAGTTGTTTAAAAGCGCTGTAAATTTCACACCATGTTAGCTGAGAGGCCACTGGAGGCTCTGTGTTTAATGTTGTTTTGGTGTGAAATCATCAGTGTATTGATGTGAACTGGATGTTTGGATGCAAATGGATCATCCAGTGTAGAGAGGAGGCAGTGGGAGACAGATTATGATATCCATGGGCGTGAACACGGCACGGGTTCCCCTCACCCGACCATGCCTCACTCATGTCTTCTTAAAGGACACTTCACAGATTCACAAGATCTGAGAGTCATATTGCTGCTGTGCTTTCAATATAATATTTAAGTTCTCTCTTTCCGTCTTCTTTTTGCCTTTCAGCCACATTATGATGTGGGTATCCTGCTCACCATCGTCCTAGCTATTCTGAGCATTGTCCTAATCTTCGCTTTCCGCTACAAGTGCAAGTCCAACAGAACGTCGGTGAGTGAAAGCAGCAGCATTGGTAAAGGTGTCAGCGGATCCTCTTCAGTTTGGATCTAAAGCTCACCTGGAGATATTTTCTAACCCTGGCTTCTTGTTTGTGCAGGACTCTGTCCATCAGCAGACCATGCGGGCCATCAGTCGATTGGAGACCAAAACCTACACCTCCTCAGGCTCTCAGCGCCACCGTGCCGCCTGGGGTTCAGCCAGCAGCTCCAACTCGAGCCCCGTCTGTGCTATCTGTCTAGAGGAGTTCCAGGACGGGCAGGTAAGAGGAAAGCGAGGAACATACTGTATCCGTGGAGTAACTGTCCTTCTCAGCTATTTATCCTCAAATCTACCTGCCTCCTTTTTATCCCAGCATTTGAGGATCATCTCCTGTGCTCACGAGTTCCACAAAGACTGCGTCGACCCCTGGCTGATACAGCACCGCACCTGTCCCCTCTGCATGCACAACATCATGGGTGAGGAAAAGCATATTTACAGTTAAGTTTTGGTGCCCATTAGAATGAATTTACAGGAATCTTTATTATTTTCTTCTACTTCAACAAAGTAAGATTGTTATAAAGGTGAGCTTTAAGACCTTTTAACCATCTGCAAATCTGTGGCTCCCTTTTTTTATTCATTGATCATTGTCAAGTAGAAGTACTTCAGTCAGTTTAAATCAATGTATACTTTTACTAACAACTCAGGCATGTTTTGGACCAACCTGTTATTACAGTTAAACTTATTACAGCCCTGCAGTATTCTGTATATTCTGACTGCTGCTGTGGTCCACAGGGACGGAGCGGCAGCCCCAGAGGAACAGACTCCAGCAGAGTTCAGAGCAAAGCCAGAGTTTCCTGCACGCTCAACCTTACAGCAGCCCACGCAACCACCCGTTCCCACAGCATGCCATTCCCTTCTCTATGAGGCCTCACTATCCTCGTGGGCCCTCTGGACCCTATCCCTCTCTGGGCCACTACACTGCCTCTTCTCCCAGAGACACCCAAACACTGCGTTTCCTCACCAGCAGGCCGCTTGGCTCCGGTTGTGGGTACCACCTTCCTGCAGAGGGTCCCAGAGGGCCCCACAGGATTGGAGGTAACTGCAGGACTTCCACCCACCACTACACCCCACGTCGGTCCTGCCACAACTATCGCTCATCGTGTCCGGCGCAGCGCAGTGCATCCAGCTCAAGACTGCACCACGGAGCCTCTGTCACACAGCAGCCCCGCGGAGCCGCAGCTCATAGTAGGCAGGACGAGGGCAGCTGCTCGGGTGGCAGCTACCACACAGAACGCAGCGGATACTTGGCTGATGGGCCAGCTAGTGACTCCAGCTCAGGGCCGTGCCATGGCTCCTCCAGCGACTCAGTTCTCAATTGTACTGATGTGTCCCTGCAGGGGGTTTATGGCAGCTGGTCCACCTTCCGTAGCTCTCTGAGTAGTGACTATGATCCGTTTGTGTATTATGGGCCTGGTCCTGGGCGCGCCCCCCGCAGGAACAGCCTGGAGGCATGTGCCCAGGCCCGGCCCAGGTCTCTGGATTCTGTGGTGAACAAAGCGGGTTGCCCCGAAGAACAGCCACAGACTGTGTTCAGCCACATCCACTACCACCGCCACAGACACCACCACTATGAGGAGGGGGAGCACAGCCAGGGCCCGAGCAGAGGCTCAGATGAGGAGCAGGGGGCCGTTGCTGCTGCTCCTGCAGCTGCTCCTGCTGCTCTCGTCCTGGACAAAGACTCACCTGTGTGCCCTCCTAAGCACGGCCCCTGCCAGTGCCCAAAGCCAGACCCCACAGATCGGCCCAGTCCTGGGGCAGAGTGTCAGGACCATGACCCCAGCGGCCCTACAGGACCTCCTGTACTGTTGTCCCCAATCCCCTTACAGCTTCAACCCCACTGCTGCCACCCGGGACACGGACACCCTCCCGCTCCTCTTGGGAGAGTGGGTGGCTGTGTGCTTGATGGCCCCTCTGTTCGCTTCCACCAGAGCCTAGATCTGCAGGATGACCGTAGCATCCACTTCCGCTATGGTCAGGGCCCGGGCTTCTGCTGCTCTCCCCCTGAGCTGCACCCTGCCTTGCTCCCCGTACCCCTCATTCTGGACTCTGGAGGTATGGAGGACTGGCCTTGCTGTGCTGGGGCCCATGTTGTGTGGCAAAAACGGGTGCAACAGGCCCGCTCAGAGCCCCAGCTCCTGGGGCCTGGGACCTCTATGGACAGGCCACCCTGCAGGTTCCACCACGGCCCTGCTGCTGACCGCAACACAGACATTTGTTTGTACTGCCAAACATTACACCACAATCAGGGTGGGTGTCACACTTGTTTATCTTTGATAGCATGACCAGCCATTTTGGCCTTAAAGGATCATTTTGGGTGAAAATGATTTTTGTATTTGTTTTTTATTATAATTTGAAGGTGACTTGAGCTATCTTTGTGTCCACAGGATCAGAAGAGGAGTCCGGTGTGTGAGAACTTGTTGCATCCCCAATTATCACGCTGCTACACAGGAGCCAGAATGGACAAGCCTCTCATTGGCTATCGCTCTCATGTCTTCCATGTAATTCCACCAGAAATGCCTTCGTGCAGACGATTCCCCAGCTCCCCCCAGGACTCAAAGCTCACATGCTGAAAGTTAGTTCCGTTATTAAGTGAAATCATTGTGATTGAATCATGCTAAATTTTTAGAATAATGCTGGACCATTCAAAATATTATATGTCAGAATATACTGAATGTTTGGGAGTTGCTGGGGAAACGGCTCATACACCACAAAGGGGAAAAAGTGTTTTTCTGTGTTTCTCCTTGTCAGTTATAGGAAGAATATTCATTACAAACACAAGTCCCCATGCTCCTTAGTGACAACTAACGAATGATCTTTGCTTATGGGCATTGAGCCCACATGAAGTGAGACTCCATCTCTGCATTGCTCACTCTATTACAAAATAACTTGATTTATCTTAGAGGTACTTACTTTCACTTGCGTGATCTTCGTCTTCCTTCGCTGAGTCCAGTCTCAGCTGAGAGAAGCTTTTCTCTCCAGCCTACCTCAGCTCAGATTTCTTAACATGCCTCACACAGGGGGTCTTTAAAGGTACTGCTGTAGTGATTTTTTTTTTGTTTTTTTTGGTCACAACCATGTAGCTCCCATAAACTCAGCAAAAGTTAGATCTGTCCAAATGGAGAGAAAGGTTGATGCTCAGTCCCTCAAACAACAAGCATTCGCTGAGGTTGCTGAGCCTTGCATGGGCCTTGTTTTCATTATTTCAATAATGGCAGCTGTTTCCAACATGTTTGTTTGTGTTTTGGATCACTTTCTGTTTCTTTTTTTTCGTAGTCTGTAATTTTCTTTTTCACCTTTCAACATGAACCTGTTTGACTGAATTATGTGGTCGTCATTACAAGCTATTGTCTTATTCTTGTCATTTCTCTTGCCAGTGGTTACTTCACATGTTTGACCTCAGTGCTGTTAAACCCCCTGATCAGAGGGAACAGGCCTCTTCACGAGGATGACAAACTGATCCTCTGCTCCTTTAATCCATCACAACGTTGTAGTATCCCCCACATATGGTAAACCCTCCCATTGTCCTCCAGCATCTAAAGCTCTAGAAAACTGTTCTACATTGCAGCCATAGAAAAGAGATAGTGACTCTTTAATGATGTAACTGGAGTAAAGCCATGCTAGGTAGACCTTACAGTCAGCTCAGTCGGTTGTCGTAGCACAAGTTTAATGAAAGCTTGCAGTGCTTTCCCATGATTTCAAACCGTAGGCTAGGTAGAGCCTGAGAAATATCTCAGGAACAATCAAACACTGGAAAAATGGGAAGAATTCATCTTAGTTACAGTAATGACAGCCAAATTGATGAAAAATCCTGTCATTGTAAATGTGCATTGCCCTGCTGTTGAGCTCACAGCACTTGAAGGAACATTAAAGATGTTTTCATTCAGATAAATAGTTCAAATGTTTAATTCTGTCTCCACACTACAAACAATAGAATCAAGGATACCTACTATTCCCTCTTTCCCTGTTTAGCCACTCTGGCAGACTGACAGACAGAAAATGTGTTTATATTCCAGGAGAATTACGCTGAACACTCAAACTGTGTAGATAAAAGTCAACCACACCGTGCCTTCAAAGACAGCTCTCTTATTTCCATCCTAACCACAGATTCGCATGTACTCAACTAAATAATCTGAGATCAGAGGAATGGGAAGCGTGGACTTTCCTTTAAAGTGAAAATGTGAAAGCAGTCAGATACAGTTTAGCTTTGCAAAAACAGCAGACAAAGAGCTCATGGGTATTGCAATGTAACCAGTAGCACTTACTAAAGCCTCATATGTGCCTTATTCATTAAAACTGTTCATCATCCTAAATCTGGAAACTCCGAACACACTAAGCTCTTATATGTCTAACCAAAGAGGCAAAATCTTGAACCGATGAACTTATAACATAGTTTGTGCTTTTTTTTTTCCTGCTTCAACCTTTTCCTTAATTCTCGGAATTAAATGTGTTTTCAGTGACAAGAGAGCAATACCAGAATTGAAGTGGAAATCATTTTGGACTCAATATTATTGGACAATCATGCAGAATCTTTCACCTGCAGTCCCTTGTACTAATACCTCACTTTGAATGTGTCAACGCAGCGTCCTCCAGATAAAGTATCAGGGTCTCCTCGTCTGTTATTTATCGTGCCCAAACGGTCTACGAGACTGAAATGGAAATGACTGAATTACAAAGCAGCACTTTGGCTTAAGCAGATTTTATATACATCTATATATATATATTACTATATATATATATATATATATATATATATATATATATATATATAGATGTATAAAATACGTAAATCTCATAGTATTAATTTAAAACAAGCCCAAAACCATCAGCACATGAAAAATAACATTTAGTGATGCTGCAGAGCATCTGATGTGATTTCATCCTGTTCAAGATCTTTCTCTTTGTGTATGTTTATGTGTTTGTTTTGTTATGTTTTGTAAGAATACCGAGCTGAAACTGCCTTTTCTATGAGTAAAAATCCCTCCAGAACTTTAAGGGATATGTCAGTATATTTTGGATACTTTGTGTACAAAAAGAGAACAACAAAAACACAAATGAAATAGTGTTGTATTTTATATATAATAGAACATTTCAATATAGTGACATGTCACTAATATATTTATTTACTAATATATTTATCCATTTTGTCCAGGTTTGAAAGAGTGGTTTCTGTATAGACTGAATGTTTCTATATGGAAATTGACCAGTGCCATCACAGATGTATCAACCTGTCTTCATTCCAATTATATGCAAATAAATTATTTTGAAATAAAACCTCTGTGCTGAATACATTTTTTCTGCAGGAGCATCCACATTGCACACCAGTGTTGTTAAAGCAATAGTTAGTTACCCCTCATAGTTTAAAATCAGCTTTCTTCAAACTATTAAAGAGAACTTGGTCACTGTATTAAACCTCAGTAAAAGTATATCTTATATGATCTTATATATGAAAGAATTATGAAACAGCTGTAACCAAAACCCTGTGCTGGAAGGCCTGAAATTCAATAAACATAATTATACAAAAATAATAATTAAGTGTTTTGTAAGCAAGCATCTACACTGTCACGTAGAGTAGAAGCTCGCTCATTTGAACTGCGTAGAGAGAGAAGATTGGACTATTCTAATCATAAGATCTAAAATGTTTGCATTACTGAGCTACAAAAACTTCAAAGATGTGATCACTACTGAACCCTAGTAGTCAATGCAAAGGCTTATAAGACGCAATGAGGTTTTAAAAGTTCAATACAATTCAATGGGGATTCATTAATGATGTGTAGCATAGGAGATAATGAGAAAGCTTTCATTTTGATTTGAAATATTACTCAGAGTCATATGTTTCCGGAATAAAGATGTAATAGAGATTCAGACATTTCAAACATATATACTGTGGTAAAGGTAAAGTTTAACCGTTTGGGAAAACATTTATTCACTCTCCTGGTGTGAGTTATTTAAGAAGATTGATGCCACTCTCACTCACCTGCGCTAAACATGAAGCTACAGCCAGGACACAGCTAGCTTAGCTTAGCACAAAGACTGGAAGCAGGGGCAAACCGCTAGCCTGGCTCTGTCCAAAGGTTACAAAATCTGAAGAGTAAAAACTACAGGTTGTGGTTTTTATGGGGGTAGTTATGTACTGAAATACTCCTTGTCCTGGTGCAGTCTATTGGGCAGGCTAGCTACTTCCCCCCATGTCGTTGTGCTAAGCTAAGCTCATTTTCAGCTGGTGCTAGCTTTATATTTGGCACACAAACATGAGAGTGGTATCAGTCTTCTCACCTAACACTCCCAAAACGCCAAACTATTCCTTTAAAATGTGTAGTTTCCGGTTTCCCAAACACACATGACAAACCCGCGTGAACATGAGTTTCTTTATTTAGACATACAGCATACAATCTACAGACAACTTACAGCATATCTGACAGCACTTGCAGCTTGTCACATGAAGCTATTCAACACTCTGTACATGTGTTTGATGTGCTGTAGTTGTGGAGGGTGTTGTTGATTGCCTCTGAAATGTACAGCCATATATAACAGTTGAAGTGTGGTTTGGCAGTAGCAGGCAGAGGATCAGTAGAAGGCTTTGGCCTGCCCTTCGGGTGTCAGCACTTTGAGGTTGCCCCTGGCATCTTGGTCCTTCTCAATGGCCTCAAAGAGAGACTTGAAGTTTCCTGCCCCGAAGCCCTGGAGGGAGAACAAACACACACAGATGGCTAATTACCCCAAGATCTGCCTTCTTCCGTGTCATTTGTTATGGCTCTGGGGATCTTCTCTCAGACACCGTTCAGGGTGCTAAACACTTTGATGTCGGATCACGGCAGATAAATATTCTCACAGGGTTCAAACATCCACTCCACTCTGACAAGGAGCCGCACTCACCGGGGGCTCGCACATTAATCATGTAAATATTTTCATGGATAATCAAAAGATCAAGCGTTGGTGGTTGCTCTGACAGATTCTTTGCTGTGGTTGAGATTTAGTCTCTCACTTTCATGCATTGTATGCACATGTATAGACTCAGTGAAATGCCGGAGAGTGACAAGATGTGCCTGTTCTGACAAGACGAATGGGCGCTAGGTGTTAAAAACTGAAGTGCCACGGGGTGCAACCCAATCCAAAGATCCCCCTCGCTGTGAAGCCTTTTAATCTGTATCCGTGATAGATTTACTGAGCTTTTACAAGTGGGCTACTGTTATATTGCTCACACTGGGTGGGAGCTGTAAACAGGTGTTCATGTGGCTCTGCCTCGGCTTCTTAAAGGTGGTGAGGGTAAGAAACAGGACCACAGGCCTACAAATCCCATCACAAAGACATACTTGGCTAAAAGAGCTTACCAGTTACAGCAGATGTTTGTGTAACTGGTCTCAGGGACTTACAAAGTGGTTGTTCCGCTGAATGACCTCCAAGAAAAGGGTTGGTCTGTCCTGCACAGGTTTGGTGAAGATTTGAAGGAGGTAGCCCTTGTCATCATAGTCAACTAAGATTTTCAATTCCTTAAAAGGAAATACAGATGGTTTATATTTTAGAACATGAACAAAAAAATGATTTCAGGCTTTCCCGGAAATAACAAGTCTCCTTACCTGTAAACGGTTGAGGTTCTCCTTCACCTTGACCTTGGCGGTTTTGAGTTTCTCCCGCAGGCTATCGTAGTAGGTGTCAGGAGCTGAGAGGAACTCCATCCCTCGGGCGCGCAGGTTCACTATCTGGTTTTTAAACAAAAACAGAAAAAAAGCCAAATCCCAAACTTGCCTTTACGTGTAGATTTGTGGAGGCTGTGCAAAGGCGAAATTGTGACGTTTATGAAAAGTAGGAGACTCACAGCTTCAATGATGTTTGACGTGTTGAGGGCGATGTGCTGAACACCTGGCCCCCCGTTATAGTCCACATACTCCTGTGAAGAGGGGGATACAGGACATCAAATGCACTGAGGGAGGGCTGTAAACCACGAGCTATCACAAATTTGAATGTCACAATCCCCCCATTTGCTTAAAATGAGACTGTTGTAGTAATGAAATGAGCTGATAGTCACACCTGGATTTGTGATATCCTTTTCCCCGATGCCGGTTCATTGATGGGCATCTTGATGGTCTCATCATAGTTGGTCACCACTATGGACCTCAGTGCGCTGTACTGCGTGTGGATCTGCTTGTCGTCTATCGACCAGAACCGATGGAACATCAAACACTTCTGATACCTGGAATTTAGAGAACACAGAAAATGAGAGAAAATGTGATGACAAGCTAAATGAACAAGCCATACCTTAATTGTTTGAATACGCCACATTTTATAGAGGAGAAAAGGTGCAGAAAACATTTCACCCTACCAGACAGGCAAGGTTACCATTAGAGGCATGTTTACTTGTCCTTTTACCCTGTGTCCCTGCTGTGCCCCCCATGTGTGTACGTGCACCCAGACAGGAGTCTTACCAGTCTGAAACTGGCACCATTTCATCATCTGGCTGGTTTCCCACAACGTGATCGATGAAGTTCAAACCTACTGGGGGACTACAAAGAAAAGAAGAAAAAAAACTTCACATGGGTACTTTTCCATAAAAGTTTGGACATTTTTTTTTAGAATATGTTGCACACAAGTATGCATAAAAAAGTATTTTGGTTCAATTTTGAGATACTCACAGTTTGGCTAACAGAGGATCCCTGAACAGGGGCTCTTTGTAGCCCGGGAGGAAAAGGCCTTTGTAGGGACTGAGGTACTCAATGAGTGTGTGCGTTGTATCTCCATACTGGGGAAAAAATCATGAACATAACATTATTATTCATTTCCAGTTTCATGTGTGTATAAGGCTTTCAAATGTGCGTCCCTCTTTACGTACCGTTTGAACCACCGCATACTTGACCCTCCCGTGGCTGTCCTGCTCCACCGAGGGCTCCTTGACAATTACAGCTCCTCGTTCTTTAGCTGTCTGTCAGTGGAGTGGTGTTGGGATCAGTTGGGAAGCACAATAACAACAGTGTTTGTGTCTGAAGACGGCTCCTGGAAGCCCTCCAGTGGCTGAAGGGAGAATATCTTCCTATACATGCTGTGATATACTGCTTTATGTAACTTAGACAGTGATGCTACTGTTGACCTCAGATTAAAGTCAGTGGTGATTCTGTATCTTTGTAGCCACTCAACACTCAACAGAGAGAGTTTATCTAAACCTGCAGCCTGACCTTGACTGAGGTAAAGAGTTCAAATGAGTCACTGAACATCAAAGCTGCACTGTCGTGCCACCACAATGTTTGTCCCTATTTCAACACACACTGAGTGCAGCACACACATTTGACCCCCTCTGAGTGGATGTAGTGTGTAGTGATAATACATGTACATGTCAGGTGTATTACGTGAATTTGAGTTGAAACATTTGAGAGAAAAGTTGCAGCTTAAAGTTGAAAGTGAAGTGAGTGAAACTGAATTCAGTGCCGTGCACACTGCTTATAAACAGTGGTGGAGAACTCAAGTACTTTACTAAAGTACAAATTTGAAGTACTTGTACTTCACTTGACTATTTTCATTTTCTGCCACTGTATACGTCTACTCAACTACATCTCATATTGTACTGTTTACTCCACTACACTGATTCGGTCCGCCTACAGATAGTTTATAGAGTATTTGTAATACATGCTTTGTCTGTAGATGTTTAACAGACAATCTATAGAATATATGTACAATTCACAAACATACCCTAACCAAAATGTTGTATGTACCTCAACTCAACCAAAACTACTTTTAACTTATTAGTTGAACTGCATAATCTCAACTGATGAGCTGTTGATGTGTTATAAATACTACCTCTAGGCGGACTATCTAAATAAAGTGGAACCAACTTATTTGTTTGTCTGTAATTTTCAGATCAATAATATAAAATATGATCCATAATAAGACTTTATAAAGCCACAGTGGGGAAACTCACAAGCTACCCAGTTGTATATAAAGTCATATAAATAAGTCCCACCTTTACCAGCTGAAATGGTAAAGTGATGATAATTATAGTCCATTAATATAATGGATATTATTCTGAAATGGGCTATTCTGAGGCATAATGAATGCTTTTACCGTTGGTACTTAAAGGTCCAGTGTGTAGCATATGTATTGGCAGAAATGGAATATAATATTCATAGGTATGTTTTCATTAGTGTTTAATCACCTGAAAATAAGAATTGTTGTGTTTTTGTTACCTTAGAATGAGCTGTTTTTATCTACAGAGGAAGGGGGTGCTCTTCTGCTGATTCTGCCATGTTAAACCTCCATGTTTCTACAGTAGCTCAGAACGGACAAATCAATCACTGGCTCTAGAGAGAGCCTTTTTTGCTGCCACTGTAGTTTCTTCTACATACTTGGAAGGCTGAGCTGTATTCAAATGGTTGCAACTACACCACTAGATGCCACTAAATCCTACACACTGGTCCTTTAAAGTATGTGTTGATGCTCAAACTTTTACTGATAACAGTGTATTTCTACAATGTGCTATTTCCACCAGTGTAAATAAACAAACAGCTTTGCAAAGTAAGTGCAATTAAATTTCAGTTGATTCTTCCTGCAGGCCAGTTCACTACAACCTGTGACTAAATCAATCAGTGCATCACCGTTACACAATATGTATATCATTGTTACCTTGATTATGAAGTCACAGTCCTCCACTTGGAAAGCAATGTCTTTGACTCCATCTCCGTGCTTAACCAAGTGTTGTCCCATTTCTGAGGGAAGATAAAACCGTGTTGAAATGCAGACATATTTTATGTCATGCTCACAGCATCTCAACTTTAACATAATCTCAGGTTTTCTTATGGGGAAACTTGCCTTCATTTCCAGGATTTAGTGGAGATTCAAATGCAAATATGATCTATGAGGGGAGAGGAGGGGATGTGTTTGCTGAGAAGATCAGTGATCACTAGATATACTGCACATTAAAGCACATGAGTGTTTATTCAATCAGCACAGGATATTTAACTGCATACCTTATCCTGTCTGATGACATGAGACACCACCTCTCGGCTGCCAGTCTCCAAACCCTTGTAGGCCAAAGGCTCGAAGCCCATCTTATCACAGTAGAAGGAGGCTGCCTGCAAAGTGATCAGACTGTCTTTATTGGGAAATGTTTTGAGTGTGGATTGCTTAACAATCCTGGCTGTGTGTTGAACCCGAAGGATCTGAGGACGCTATGGAAGCAGGTTTTTTATATGGAAGTAGATCAGATCTATTTTCTACTTTCTAAATGTCGTTATCGATTAATGCCTTTCTCTATCAATGGATTAATCATTTATGTCAGAAAATTGTAAAAAATGCCCATTTATTTTGCCAGAACTGCAGTGAAGTACTACTGAAGTATTACTGAAGCAACTAACACTCCAAAACCCAAAGATATTACGTTTGTAGTTGTTATTGTTCTGAAATTAATACCAAATTGTTTTGGCTACAGATTAAACAGCTTGTGGTACTTTTAACTGTATGGAAAAGTTGTTATGTAATTACTACCTGTTTAAATACAGTAACTTATATTCACCCAGCAATAAAACATAAAGAAGTAGGTTGAAGACACTAAATCTTTAAATGCAATACATCTGGAAAAGTTCATCTTGATTTTAACATAAATGATTGAAATGAAATGAAAAGAATGAGATGTGAGTTTACTGGTGCTGAAATCATGAAAATGACACCGATGACTTTTGGTCGCGTGTGTGCGTTTGGACACTGACCTGTTTGGCATTGCCGACCCAGAAGGTGAGATGATGAAACCTGACAAACTTTCCTCTTGCAGGCTTAAAGGAAAAACAGAAGAATCACATAGGCTGATGGTAGGAGAAAATGATATATACTTGTTTTTTGGGTTTGTTTTAGAGGTACTAAACGATTACCTTACCTTAAGACTCAAATTTCATATTAGCTGATGTTGTAGAAAGATTAATTTATTCTTCCAACATTCAGCCACTCAGTTATCATTCAACCACACATCACAGACACATCAGAGGTATTTTTAAATCTTACCTTCTCCCCTTTATCTGTGTAGGTTGTCTAAAAGGAAAGAAAAGATATAGATCATTATAACTTAATCCTCAAGTGCTCAGAGCAACCTACAGTCAGTGGATCTCATATGGTTATTATCCACTGAAGACACAATTATCTCCTTAATTACTCAGCTGAGAAACTGTCTAATGTCCCACAACTGAGAGCACTTGCTCATCATAACTGACTCACATGTCTCTTACCATGATGTGACTGTAGATGGGCAGCAGTTCAGAGAAAAAAAAGATCTAAATCAGTGTCCAGCCCGTCGGTGTGCAGATAAGTACTGGCCTGATGGCCGACGGTGATTGGTCCTTTAGGATCTACACCCACCTGTCCGCCTCCTCGCTTCCTGCTGCACTGTAGCTAAAAAGTTCAACAACAGTGGCCCAAGTTTTGTCATCTCCCCTGAGTCCAGTGTCTAATCCGTCCTCAGAGCCTCAATCGTCATAGAAACATAGACACATTAACCTCAGTGTAAGGAAGATAATGAGATACTACACTCAGTCTAGTCTACAATGTTTTGCCTGAGATACTCAATATACCTCTCAGGTGAACATGCAATAGGCTCAGATGAAGAACCGTTTATCTGTAATACAGCAGACACTCATTAAAGCTTAAAACAAATGTTATGCATCCTGAATATGAAGAACTAAACTGGGAGCAAATTGAAATACAGTGCTAGTAGAGCTGAGGGTACAAACTGAGAGATAATCCTGTCCCACACCAGTCCCACTGAGAACACTTTCTGGTTTCTGTTATTTCTGCCACCAGAGGGCGAAATATTGCCTGATTTAAACTGCCATAATAGAAATCAGATCAGCAATAATGTTCTATAAGATCAGTAAACCCAGAAATGTCTACTGAACTGAATAATTTGTCATTGTATCAATATTCTTAAAGATTTTGTATATTTTTATTAACAGCATTTAATTTCCTTGTCATAAAGACTCACGCTGGCATCATCAGAGTAGCCTATCTGGCAAATGAAAAAGCCTGATAGTGAAAGCAAAAATGTACATATGCAGTGTTTTCTTTTAACTTTTAGACAGTCTTTGAGGTTAGGTCATGTTTTGCCTGGGGAAAAATATCATTGGACTGCAGTGAACACAGGGAGGCTGTTGACTGGTATCGGAGAGCATTTGAGGTCAGGTCCAGACTGTTACAGACAAGGCCAATGGACTAAAATAGTGTCTGGCTCCAGCTACAGTGCTCTAAACTGCGTGGGCATGTCAGATGTATGTATACTTATGACACTGTGTGAGGGGGCTCCAACAGAAAGACAATTGGATCATGCACTTTTTGCATATTTACATAAACACTGGGTGACTTTTTAGTTAAGTGACTAAAATAAAATTAAAAAATCCAAACAAGAAGAGATCAGGCTGAGAAAATAAAAATGCACACAACTGCTCCAATATAATGTCAACCTGTCTCAAACCCAAAGATATTCAATTTACAGTGATATAGAATTGAGGAAAGACTGCAAACAAATCACATTTGAGAAGCTGGAACTGGAGAATATTTAGTATTTTGGGTTGATGCATGACTTTTGACGAGTAATCAATTAATCAACTGATTATTATAGCTTTAGATATGACAATCAGTGAGGTCAGGCTGACCTTAAAACACATTTCACTGAATTAAATGTTGCTATGACCTTTAAAAGACTTCCCCTTTAATGCTTTGCTCTTTTTACTTTTGCTTCCCCTGCTGCTTATTATAATATATATATAACACTGTGTGTATAAGATAGCCTACATATTATAAATAATAAATAATATCAGAATCAGAATGACACATACAAGGAATTTGCCTTGGTATCTTGGTGCATAACAATTAATTGATAAATAATAGAATGAAAAACATAAATAAAACAAGAGAAAATAAAACAATATTACATGAAGAAATACAGTAAAAAGAAAAGAATAGAACATATGTACAAGAAGCTGTAATCATGGACAGCTATCGGTTTATCTCATCGTTTCAGTTTTGAACCTTTTGAAGAATGCAGCCCCGCTGGGCTATGACTAGTACAACAATGTGTTCTTGTGCGCACGTACCGCGCCGTGTATGTGTGGCTCCAGTTTGTGCCGCGCTGTGATTTTCTATTGGTGCGCTTTAGGAGTTTAATGGCATCTGATTGGCTCCTCTGTGGGTGTGTACGAGTCATTCGCTCGACTATTGTGAATCCCCATTGGCCGATACGAACCCTGTCGCGTCATTGGTCTAGAATGTTCAGTTTCCCCCGTGACTATTGGCTAACGCTGTTGTCATCACACAAGAATGCGGAAGTCGTGTAGTCTACTGAGTCACCGTTGTGTCAGCTGATTCTTTCTGAGTGAGTAACTCGGTTTATTTTTTAAAATTAAGTAACTTCTGAATAATGTATTGTGTGTGACATGTTCTCGCTCTGTCGGACTAGTGTTGGACGTGTGAACCTTGAGCCGTTTGGTCGTTTTCTGTTGGGAAATAAGCGAATTTTATACAGCAGCCTCTGGTAGTGTTGCTATCCGGCAGCTAGCAGGATGCTAACGAACGCAAACACAGCACACACACACACACACACACACACACACTTTCGGTTTGTCTAAACTAGTCGCCTCCTAGCTCAGTGCCAGTCTGTGGCGAGGCTGTCGTCCACTTTCACTTTCACCTTACATGTCTTTAAACTTTCTCCCTGTTCTCGTCATCGTTCACACCTGTTGTTGTTGTTGTTGTGTTGTCACGAGTCACACTGAGCACCTGTTATTCGCTCCTCTCTAGTGGAGCTCACAGTTTTACCGGTAATGCTGGAAATGTCTGGCTAACATTAGATCGATTGTTTGTTATGGTTAGAGGAAACCACCCTGGAATCTCCCACTGCGCTGCTAATGTATTTCTGTATGTAGTCATGAGGAAGAGAAACTGCCTTTTCAAATGTCACCCTAATGCTTCATACAATCACTGTCATTAACTCTGAGTTTGAAATACTTGAGAATTTCTCCTCGTTACATAACATCTCTGTTGCTTTCAGTTTGCACATAAATTAGCCTTCATTTTTCTGAACTCTCTTCTACATAGCTCAGTGAGTGGGTGTGCAATTTTACATCAAAATTTAAATGTCTGCAACTTGCTGACTATTCTCCTTATTAATCATTTGGTCTATAATGAGTCCCTGTTTTTATTAGTATTAGTATTATTATTATTTTATTATTTTTTTAACCACAAATATTTGGCATTGATGCTTGGCAAATAATGAGAAACTGATTGTGAAAATAATTGGTTCATTTTCCGTAGATTTGTTTCAGCATGCGTGTCTTTATCCATCTTGGTATTCACTCTAATCGCCACTGGATTGTTTGGTTATATCGTCACAGTAACACTTTTTAGGATTGAGAGATGACGTGAACACATTTAATGTGAGTGGGAGCTACTGGATTTACACATTGAATACAACTGCATGATATGAACTAAATGAGGAAAATAATGATCTTGTTTTCAATTGTGATTTTTCATGGCACCTGTTTATACACACTACCAGTTTATTAGTTGTGCCTAAAACAAATGCAGTGTGAAACAACAGCCATTCAGTAAACCCTGCCTTCATGAAGATTATGATGTTCAGAATAATGTGGTGTCAAATTGCGCTACATTATGTTGAGAGGTGTTTCTAATATTTTGTCCACTCCATTTTTATGGATAGTTGAAACATTAGTAGCTGATCATTGTTAAAAGCTTTGACTCTAGTTATGTGCTTCAGGCTTCATCCCTCCAGATCCATTTTAGAAATGTGCTCTGATGATAAGAGGATGGAACATACGCTTTGTCAAAACATCTACTGGATATCTCAGTCAGACCCTGTACTTATCAGGTCACTTAACAACCACGTGTGATATTTTCTGCTAAATCTGAGACTGATGTTTCTAAAGTGCTGATGGACATTAAGAATTAAGATCATTCGGTCTTAAAGCTTTTCGACTAATGCAGCAACTAGCGAATGTCTTCATCAGAGGACATTAATCGAGGATTTAGTGGCATCTAGTGGTGTAATTGCAGATCGCAACCCCCTTTGCTTCACCCTCCATGTGCAAAGGAGAAACAACACGGTAAAAACGCTAACGACGATTGGTTTGTCCAAGGCTCATTCTAAGGTAACAAAAACATAACAATTTCTATATTCAGGTAATTATACACTAATGAAAACATAGCTGAATATTACATTCCTATTCTGCCAATAGATCCTTGATGTTACAAACTGAACCTCCAATCTCTTCCCCAGACTGTCTCCTTTAAAGTCCACACTCAGTCTTACCTTCATTGCAGTCCTCACAGTCCACTTACCGCCTGCTCCTGAACTAGCTGCCATCACAGCCATCCTCAAAAACCCTAACATAACATTCATGTTGAAGCCCAGTTGTGTGGAATTTGAACAATTTGACTTTTGTGTTGACTTCAATACTTTTTTTGGACTGACCTAAATGTGTCAATAGACATTTAGGTACTGCAGTGAGTACTGAAAGTAACGCACACTGGCGCTGAATACTTGCTCAGATCTGCCTTCCTTTTTACTTATTCTTTGATCCTGATTGAATCAAATGTTTTCCAAAGGTAGACTGTATTTGATTTAGACAAAGTATTTGCAGGGCTTGTGTTAGGCAAAATGTAACATTTGAAATTATTGTGGAAACATGTTTGTATCCCTTTAAAGTAGCTTTCAAAGAGACTCAGGTATTGCATCATTAATACTCATGAGGAAGGTTTGGAAGGTACCTGGTAATAACAGTAACATTTCTCTCCTCACCTGAATAAGGACACGCCCTTCTGTATGTGGAACCTCGGCTTTGTTTTCTTGACACGCCACCAAATATCCATTGGAAATATGACAACACCCAAGCAGCAGCCTCTGGCGTGTTATTTACTTTCAAAAGCATTTCCTATAAACTGGTGTGTGATGAAGAAGGCTCAAATGCAATCAGTATATTTTAAACTACAATCAGTTTTCTTTCTGCTGGTTTTCCCAAAGCCTTTGCAAGAGCCGTATAATTACAGATGGGCTGTCGCAGTCAGCGCATCATTGTATATATTGTGTGCTAGTTTGCATAAAGTGATAACGGGAAGGAATGTTGGATGCTTTATTAGACACAGTGCTCTCTTGGATGAGTTTAATCTACTGAACTATATACTTGCTTTGACAGAAACAAATAGCAGTGCGTTTCAACTTGCTTACAAAACGCGATAACCAGAGCAGAAATAAATGTTTCCACATATTTCAAAATGATGGATGATTAATAATAAAGTGCTCTAATTGGGTGGCTAACATGCAGAATTGCATGTTGATATCTCTATTGATC